TTACATATTTTTGTTTTATATTAGCTGAACCAAACTTTGCTATATCACTATAAAGTAAAACATTGTACTTACATATTTTTAAACTATATTAGCTGACCAAACTTTGCTATATCACTATAAAGTAAAACATTGTACTTACATATTTTTTAAACTATATTAGCTAGACCAAACTTTGCTATATCACTATAAAGTAAAACATTGTACTTACATTTTCCAAAATTAATTTTTTTCCTAAATGGTAGAGCTTCAAGTCCTTTTATTGCCCCAAATCATTTTGACACTGAATGAGAAGAATGTTGATGTTATATAATGTAGTTTAATTTTTTTTTCTTAATTAGTAATTATTCTAATATGGAAAATATGTCTTTTGTTGTTTTTATTTTATATTCGTGTTCTACTCGTTGTTTTTCTGGTCCCCCCCCCCTAAAAATAGTGTCGAAGGGAAGTTATTTAAAAGGTTTTTGAAGACTGCTATTATCTACGTATTGAAATTATTGGATGACATTTAAGATAATCAGTTTCATATATATATATATGCACTTTCCAGACTGGCCATGTGTCAATACTCCGTATTTTGGCTTATAACCAGGTTAAAGCTTGTTACATTATTAAACCATATGAGCTGTAAAGCAAATAATTGAAGAGCTGCTTAGATGTATTTTTTGTTTATCCAGGTTTTTTGTTATAAATCGTGTATTTAAAATAAAAGTCCTAACTTGTAGTGAAATAAGTCCTATCAGTATAACCCGTCAAATTTGTGTTTAATAAAAAAAATAATCGTTCGTAGTAAAGTAGTAATTTGCTGTTACATAAAACTACTTAATGGGAATAGTTAATAAACACAAGGTATGTAACAGAAGTTTATAATTATAATGTTTACACACACTGATTTTTGAGTATGTTTTATAATTATAAACATAGTTTCTTTAATTTTAAAATGATTCAAAGACTGTTTCGTTCAAATTTAATATTTTTTAAATACTAATGATCTGTGAAGTAATTTATTGGGCTTCTCGTGTGAAATTTTTGTATAAAGAATTGTTTTTTGTTTTATGCAAAGTTGTGAAAGGCCCTTTGATAATTTTTAACTTTTTTTTAAACAGTTCATTAGCAAAACCTAATTGTTTCAATAAAAACCCTTTCTCTGAGAAGACTACATATGGTTAAGTTCTAACTCTTTAAAATTACCGTCAAAATATAAAGCATACTGAATGAAACAAGTTCCATATGAATGCATATTTGACTGTTTATAATTTGATTTGTTTCAAGTCTTCTGAGTGAAAAGCAGATATTAATCAATCATTTTATCACAAGATTTTATTCTTATTTTAACTGTGAAAGTTAATTAATTACTGTTTTTCAATTATGTGTTGTAGGCTTAGTATGGTCTTTAGGGGCTAGATATATATATATATATATATATATATATATATAGGCTGTAATTTATTACAAAATATATAAAAAGATAGTATTTAACATTGTGGATCAGGATAGAGCATGGCTGTTTTACTGGAAGTTTTTATTAAAGCAGTGACTGGCTGATAAAAAGAAACCTTACAGTCAAGTGAACCCTATTTCAAATATCAGTGAAAATTGAAAAGCTGCATTCCTCATTTATTATCATTATACTGTTACTTTTGAATATTTTTTAAAATACAAGTATAATATTCAAAATCTTTAAGTCTGCATGTGAGAAATAATCCCACAAATTTTTTTGTTTAGTGCAAAATCTTCTTATTAAACTATTTAGTGCAAGCGATTATGCAAAAAAAACAACAAAATTATAAAAAATGACCCACCAAAACTGTAGTTAGAGAGCTCGCAGGAAAAGAGTATGGAAAGAGCTGAAACTTTTTTAGTTTGTCCATAGAAACAAGTCGTATCTAGTTCTTGTTTCCAGGCAGCTTGGGGCCCGGCATGGCCAGGTGGAAAAGGTGCTCGACTCGCAATCTGAGGGTCGTGGGTTCGGATCCCAGACCCACCAAACACGCTCGCCCTTTCAGCCGTGGGGGCGTTATAATGTGACGATCAATCCCACTATTCGTTGGTAAAAGAGTAGCTCAAGAGTTGGCGGTGGGTGGTGATGACTAGCTGACTTCTCTCTAGTCTTACACTGCTAAATTAGGGATGGCTAGTGCAGATAGCCCTCGTGTAGCTCTGCGCGAAATTCAAAAAAACAAACAAACCAGGCAGCTTGTGCAGCAAGTATGTGTTGTGGGCTGATATGATATTACTTTCCATAATCAGTATTATTAATTTAGTTGAAGTTGTATGGGATGTTGTTGGGATATTTGCCATGCTGTTACTTTTTTTTTCCCAGTGTATGTTGGGGGGGGGGGGCTGCGTGGCTTGTTACACTGTAATATTTTATATGTGAAGCATTTACATTTTGATGCTTAGAAACTCTGTAAATTGCTTTGTATAAAGGTGTATTTCAAGGAATAAATATTAACAATTTAATCGACACATGCACAGCAAAATAATATGTTTTTATAAAATGTAAAAAGTTCCAATCTGAAGTCAGACCAGCTTTAAAATTGGGCACGAGAGTGATAAATCATTATAAGAAGAAGTAGAGGATCCCAATAAAATTTAGAAGCCCTGAGCCTCCATAAAACTGAATCTAGCCCTGGCTATAGGCAGAAGCAAATGTACATGTTTAGTGAATCAAACAAGTTCTGAAGAAAAATTATATCTTATTATATTGTACTAGGTTACTTGAGGTTTCACCGAACAAATTCAATCAAATTATTCCATTTTCTGTGGTTAAATGTTATTGGCTTAATTTCTTTTGTTATTATGCTGGTGTTTTTGTTATATATGTGTAAAAATAATAGCAGATTTGTGAATTTAAAGGTATGCACAAGAGTTTGTATACAGAAATTATTTGTAGTGTATCTAAAGATAAGAACTGATTCATAAATAGAAAGTTGTACAATAAACTATTGTGAACACTAGGACAAAAGCATGATTTAATTTTTGTGCATTCTACTATCGTGAACAATATGTTAAGAAAAATCATTACAGATTTAGTTTGTCATTGGACGTTATTTTCATATTCGAGCTAACTTTCTGGTTGATGGTAAAACTCCAATAAACTTCTGTTGACTGAGAGAATTTTTAAAAAAATGTGATTTTTCATTTCTTATAGGAAATTACATGTTTTTAGTTTTTTTAATATTTTAAAATAAGTATTGCTTTTTATCATTTATTGCCTATTTCAACTTTTAAAAAAATTATAAGTTCTGAAACATATTGATATGATATATAATTAAATGAGTGAAATATTGATTAAAACTAATAATGAATTTTTTCCAGTGCCTGGTGTACAAGAAAGCCCTAAAAATATCGGGAATTGCAGGAATTGACACTGGAACTGTTGTTAATCACATGTCTGTAGATGCTTTCAACATGATGATGCTCTTTTCAATGGGACATTACATTTGGGCCGTGCCTTTTAAGGTGTGGTAACTGTTCATTCAGCTGTAAACTTGAGGAGTAATTTTAATGTCAAGGGAAAAAAACCCACATAGTTTCGCACATATCAGAATAGGCCCATATGATGCACATACGTATAAAAGTTTATGTGTAATGTGGTGTACTTCTTTCTGGTTTGAGAAGCATTCTTTAATAACAGTTTATTCTGTAAATGTTTTTTACTGAGTCTAATACATTTAAGAATAGGTACATACATGGTACATACAAGGTGCTCATATCAGCATAGGCCCATATGATGCACATACGTATAAAAGTTTATGTGTAATGTGGTGTACTTCTTTCTGGTTTGAGAAGCATTCTTTGATAACAGTTTATTCTGTAAATGTTTTTTACTGAGTCTAATACATTTAAGAATAGGTACATACATGTACACATAATAGTTTTAGTCTTAAAAAAAACATTTATTTAAAGATTCTAAATCAAATCTATGTTATTTTCAATAATTTGTTTAGGTACTGTAATTTATTTGCATGTTAGAAAGTACTGTCAATGATTAAAAAGATTCGGTTTAAGATATATTGATGAATGTAATGAATTTTGCTTGTGTGAAGTTGAAAATGTTTCAAGAACATTTGAAGTTACTGTCACAGGTTTTGTTCATTAGGAAAGAACTTGTTGATTAAAAAATTATATGAGACATTATGTTAACAAAAAAATAGACATATTAGTTTCAAACTTCTGTTTGTATTGCTGTCTTAGTATGTGAATTTATCATAGATATAAATCTTCAAAGTTAGCTAAACCTTGTGAGATATTATTCAAATTACACCAGATTTTACTGTTAATAGAGGTGATTATCCATCTGATGATGTAATGTATTCTAATCATTATAGGTTTTAATTTTTTGGGTGGATCGATGTATCACATTAAGTGTTTCCATTGATTTGTTATTCTGGATTATCTATGTCAATCTGTATATTTTTTAGGGTATTCGAGTTCTGATGTGTGTGTGTGTGTATATATATATGATGTGCTGAACTGTGAAACTTTCTTCGTAATCACTCTGTACATATATAGTTGGTCTACTTTATGAACAGAAGTTCTTAATACATGTTAATAATTAATTGATACAGTACATGTATATATATGTAACAATGATTTGCATGATATATTACTTTTTTAACCACTTATCAAATTAGAAACGGTACAGGAATTGTACAAGTTTTACTCCAGATTTATTTTAATGTTTCAAGAAAGTTATAAAGAGTCAAACTTTGGATAAATCAATGTAATTGATTCCTTAAAAATTACATACTTTTGAGTTAAAAAATGTAAATTTTTTTTCAACAGTTAAGAACTTTTTTGAGTATCTGCCTACACATTCTCGAACATCTAGTAGTAGATTGAATGAAAGTTTTATTGTATGCCGTGCATTAAATAATGATCATTTTATGTTTCAGATAACCTTGCTGTTGATGCTTTTGTACATGCAGTTAGGATATAGTGCTTTAATTGGAGCAGCTACGATATATGTTCTTGCTCCAGTTCAATATTACATTTGCACTCTTCTATCCCGAATCCAGAAAGAAGCTTTGGTAAGTTTGATGATAGTTAATACTATTAAATTTTGAAAAGAAAATCTTTTAAAACTACATGATTAGTTTTTAAAGAAGATTAACCATGTCGTCATGTTTTGACAGTTGTGAAGTATTGACTAAATATAATAAAAATTCTTCCTGAAATAACTGTTTAGACATATATAACTTACCATTTAATTAGAAACTGAATCAAAATTGCTTTAAAAAAAGGCTTTGAAGAGAAAATAAATCCTGTCATGGTAGGTTTTTCAATTTTTTCTTTAATTTCTCAAAACATTTGAAAATAATTTATATAAAGCTTGATATAGCTGTCTAGCTGCAGCTATAGTGTCTAAGATTTAGAAATAATTTAAATATTTGTATGTAAATCTAAAGTTAATCTTATAGCTGTGTTGTGGTTGAGCTTCATTCCTCATGACTTGTGGCTCATACTTGCCAACTTTATAGATGCTTTCTGTGATAACTGTTCAAATTCAAACACCCTGAGTGTTGTCCTATATTGATAAATGTACGCAAAAAAAATCAAAGATTTTTAGAAATTATTTTCAACAAAATGTTTGTACATTTGGCTAATTCTAGTGGTCAAGGAAAGGATAAGAAGACAATTTTCTATTTGTTTACGTACAGCTTATGGTGGCTAGGTTTTGTGGGCTCCGTCCATTTTGTTTAATTTAAAAGCTCTGGGGCCTGGCTTGATTCACAATCTGCTGGGGTTCAAATCCCATCACTGAAAATGCTCACCCTTTCATCCTTGGAGGAGGGGGGGGGCATTATAATGTGATGTTGACTAGCAGACTTCCCTCTAGTCTGTAACTTCAAAATTAGGGATGTCTTGTGCAGATAGCTTTCTAGTGGTTTACCACGAAATTCCAAAAATAAATACACAATTAAACGATCTTTGTTACAATTTCTCTGTACTCTTCTGCCTTCAGTTATAATTGGATAACATTTATATTGTACTTCAAATTAAAATATACTCAACTAGTCATATTTTATATAGAAATAACAGTAGAAAGTAATTTTAATTATTTCATTGTTGTTGAATATTTTATCTGGTAATGAAGGCAAAAGTCTTTAAGATGCTCTCTAATGGCCATGAACCTTACGAGAAATATGAAAAACTTATAATAATTTATTTATTTTATTTTCATTTATTTATCTGTTTTTTTCCAATCAAGTTATAATTTTTTTTATCTTCATGGTCAATTTTGGATGGTTGAACCTTCCAAATCATAAGAATAAAAACACTGAATAATGGGTTATTCATTTAAATGTGAAATTAGAAGGAAGTTATGGCACAAGGAGATTTTTCTGGAAATTATTCGTGCGTGAATATTTTGCCTGTTAAATTATATATTAAGTAAAAATATAAGTTATCTAAAACTAGATGTGATTTCAGAAACTTAGGTTTACACTTAATGTAAAGAGCTAGTGAACACAATACTTAAACTGTGTTTTGTAACTAAATGATAAAATTGTACCCAAACTGTATTTACACAGAGCGGGACTGTTTATAGATTTTTCTGTTAATTATTGTATTGCATTAGGAAAATATTTACTTGTCAGAAATACAAAATAGCAGATGGAAAACACTAAATTAAAATTAAGAAAATGTTTTGGGCCAAGGCCCTTCTTCGGGTATTACTTAAAATCACTGTAAACACAAAATGAAAAGAAATTTGAATGTCAATGTAAGAATTCAATAGATTGTAATGCAGTTGTTTATTTATGAAAGTTAAAATTTTTTTTTCAATTATATTGTACTTTTTTAGTTTCTTTTTTGGTCATTGTATTGTAGTACAATTTTATTTTTCTCCATACATGGGAAACGTTTTTTTTTTAAGCAACCTGTTAAAGTCATTCATGAGTAGGAATTTAAAACTATGTGTAGAGTAGTGTTAAAGTAAAGTTTTCTCTTTGTTTTGTTCTTCGCTAAAATATTTTTAAGTGTTGTTTATTGTAGCTTTGGTGTGATTTAAGGAGCATCAAGGACTTAAAATTTTATCTTTTATTTAAAGTAAAAAAAATTAAATTATTATTTATTTATTTTTGCAGAAAGTAGCTGACGAACGTCTACAGCGAACCAGTGAGCTTTTGCAAGGGATTAAGCTTTTAAAATTATATGGCTGGGAAACGATGTATGGAAATCTCATTCAAAACGTCAGAGAAAAAGAGTTGAAGCTGCTGCGCTCAGATGCAATTTATGTGGCTCTGAACAGTGAGTGTTTTGTAAACGTTTAGCAAGTCTCAACATGAAAATATCCAAACTTTTTTCTCAAGTATTACAATCTGATTTTTCTTTGTTAAGTGCTCATGAATGGAGACTAAAGTTTAGTTTCATATTTTGTGATAAAATTACAGAACTGATTTTATTACTTGTAAACTTGGGTTAATTGAAGACTGTACGTTAATTATGGTATACTTAAAAGCAATTTAAGGATAGTTTTATGTAAGATTTACACATTTGAAGTTACCTTTGAATTTTATGTTTTACTGTTAAAATTCTGCTGGTGTTGTAAATGTTCTTCTTTATTCATGTTAAGTCTAAGATCTAGCTCAAATTTCACTGCATTTGTTCGTTTATTTCCAGCATTTCTTACACAAGCATCTTCAATTGTGGTTACTTTAGTGGTAGGTGAAGTTTGATTTCATTGTACTTTATATCCAACACGTGTAGCTTTCTGCTTGCTTAATTTGCCACCACTTTATATAATGTATTAAAAAGTATAAAAATGGAAAGGTTCTTTCAGTTATTAAAAAACATTAGAATTCAAATGCTTATAATAATCACTACAACATTTGTCTTTAAGCCACTTTCTCAGAATTCTTCTGATTTTGCTAAAAAAAATATTTATTTGTTGATAATGTTGGCCCTAGGAGAGCTTGATATTTTTGCCACTTGTAGTAAGAATTTGTACTGACCTATTAAAGAAAGAATGTACCAATGGGAACACTCCCTAAAGAAAGAATGTACCAATGGGAACACTCCCTAAAGAAAGAATGTACCAATGGGAACACTCCCTAAAGAAAGAATGTACCAATGGGAACACTCCCTAAAGAAAGAATGTACCAGTGGGAACATTCCCTAAAGAAA